GTACCTCCAGCACCTCCAATACCATCAGCTCTAGCAGCTCCAGCACCTCCAGCGCCAGTAATACCTCCAGCACCTCCAAGACTAGCAGCTCCAGCACCTCTAGCACCAGCAGTACCTCCATCACCAGCAGCTCCAGGACCTGTATAACTCCAAGCTCCACCACCAGAGCGGCTTCGCCGAACTATCTACTCACGAAGCTGCTGCGGCAAGAGCGTCTCTAGTCGACTAGGCGGCTGCTTATGTCCAACGCTAGGACCTCTAGCAGAAGCACCCACGGCCACACCACCACTAGGACTCGCAGCACCCATAGAGTCAGCACCCCCAGAATTAGCACCCCCAAAACCCTCATCCCCAAGTCTCGGCACTCCTAGGACTAGCACCTCCAGAGTCCTCACCCCCAGTGTCACCACCCCCAGCAGCACCAGAGTCCACAGCTAAAGGCTGCGGAGGCGGCGAAGACGGTCAAGGCGGAAAACTAAGAGGGGGTCTCCAAGTGTTGAGAGCGGCGAGTGGCCACCGTGTCTTCAGCAGCGGGGTCACCCCCTCAGCTGGGCCAGAGGTTTCAGAGAAAACCCCCAAAGGCTCAACCAAGGGGGGATGGTCTACCTGAGACATACTTGAGGGAGCAAGACCCTGTAGGGAGAGGGGGTCTACCGGGGGGGGGGGAACTTGGACCAGGAAGGGGCAGCAGGGGGACTGCGTGGGACGCGTGCGGGTGGAGCCAGTAGAAGAAGACCGACTCGTCAAAGGTGGCGTCATGGGAGGACAGGACTCGATGCGAGCGAGGGTGGTAAAGCTGCCAGGGCGGGGCGTCGGTGGGGAAGTTCGGGAAGACACAGCGGAGAGTGTGAGGAGAGAGATTGCTTGCGGTGGTATTGCAGACAAGGGAGAGCGCGCCCCGGACCCGAAACGCCGACGCATCGCCAACCTCTCCCGTCCAACATAGTGTGGGCGAGGTCTCTGGCACAAAGACACGGGGCCAGAGGTTGAGCCGATGCACAGCGTATCGTACCGCAAACGGCCATAGAAAATGGGGAGCAGCCGCGTGGATCATGGAGGTACGAGCAACCTCCGTGATCAAGCCAATGCGACGCTCAGCAACAATCCCATTCTACCGCGGAGAGGCCGGAAGTGTGAACGGCTGGGCAATGTCCTCGTCTTGATAGAACCCCGCAAGGAGGCCGGAAGAGAACTCACCGCCCCTGTCAGTGTGCAGACGCAAGACTGGAAGGTCCCTCCAAAACCGCTCGCGCAGCTAGACGAGTAGCGCGGATTGAGATCAAAACACCGCGGACGTCCACCTTGCTCCGCAAGGGGAAGAATGTGGTGTAGTGCATGTAGTCGTCAACAACCAGCAGAAAGTAGCGCTTCTGGTTCGTCCCTTGGATGGGGGCCGGGCCCCACACGTCCATGTGGAGAGTCTGCAGAGGAGCAGTGTTTGGAGGAAACGAGGAGTTGTGGAGAGCAGCGCGCTACCGCCCCTCGATGCAGGGAAGGCACGGCGGGGCAAGCGAGCGCGGGAGGGGGGGCAGGGACCAGGGAAGGCCGGAGACAAGGAGACGGAAGTGCATGCTGCGTAGACGCGGCAGAGAGGGTGACCGAGTCGGTGGTGCCAGAGGAGAGTCTGGTGGGAGAGTAGCCGACACGAGCACGGTGCAGCTAACTGACCAGACGCAGACACCTGACTCGACGTAGTCATCGGACCTGACGCAACCACCTGTGCAGGCGCAGTGGTCAGGGTGTATAGACTGGACCTAGGATGTCGAGTGAACGTGGCGAGGTGCTCACTAGTGCGGGAGTCTGTACAGATCGCCACTCGCTTACCCCCAGGAGTAGTCATAGTGACAAACAGGTCCTGGAGGACAGCGTTACTCACCAAGTTTGTAGTGAACCAGGGGAGGTGGAGATCTTCAAGCGAGCCGGAAGGGGCTGCCGGACACGGGAGAATGGTGGAGGCACGGGCTATGACTGGGCCCCAAGAGGGGTCAGCCAGACTGACTGGGACAGGTGCAGTGAGCGGTGTGACTGTGGTGCAGTCGCGGGAGAAGCAGCGAGTCGCGGCTGAGTCAGGTGTAGAAAGCCTCCATAGGAGGTGCACCTGTGCTACTAGGCTCGCAGGCACCTAGACTAGCAGCCGCTGCACTACCAGGGACGTGCCGCTGAGAAAACCACTCGCAAAGCTGCTACACTGAGAGGGTCTCCTCCTGACTCTGCTGCCGCTGCTATCCAGTACCTCCAGTACCAGTAACCCAACCAGAGCGGTCTGGTTGAATAACCCACTCACGAAGCTGCTGCTTCGAGAGCGTCTCGAGTCGACGGGACTGCAGCTGCTGTCCAGTACCACCAGCACCTATGAAATCCCAAGCTCCAGCACCAGAGCGGCCTCGTCGAATAACCCAGTCGCGAAGCTACTGCGGCGATAGAGTCTCTGGCTGACGCTGCTGCTGCTGCTGTCCACCCCCAGACACTGCTACGACCGTGATAGTGCTGGCAGGCAATGGCAGTCAGTAGCAGCGGCACAAGGGCGTCAGTGGCAACCGCTGTAGTTGTGGCGGTAGTCGCTGTAGTGGCAGGTCAGCTAGGTAGGGTGGGTCAGCTGAGCGGCTCGGCGAGGTTCGCGCCGGGTTGCGCGACTCGGGCAGGGGCGGGGCACAGTGGCGAGCAGGGCATGCTATATATGGGTAGGGCAGCGGTCAGGGTAGCGCGCGGGCAAGGCGCGCAGTGCGCGTGGGCAGCGCCAGCTGCGAGTAGGCAGTGCACGGGCTGTAGGAGAGGGCAGCGCGCTTGCTGCTGGACAGCGCGGGCAGGGCAGCGCACGGGCTGCTGGGCGTGCGGGCAGCAGGGCGACGCAGGCAGCAGGGCGCACGAGCTGCAGGGCGCTGGCAGCAGGGCGACGCGGGCAGCAGGGCATGCGGCTGAAGGGCGACGCGGGCAGCAAGGCGGGCGAGCTGCAAGGCGTCGCGGACAGCAGGGTGTTGCGGGCAGCAGGGCGACACGGGCTGCAGGGCGTGTGGGCTGCAGGACGAGGCGAGCAGCAAGGCGACGTGGGTAGCAGAGCGTGTGGGCTACAGGGCGATGCGGGCAGCAGGGCGATATGGGCTGCAGGGCGACGTGGGCAGCAGGGCGATATGGGCTGCAGGGCGACGCGAGCAGCAGGGCGACGAGGGCAGCAGGGCGTGCGGGGTGCAGGGCGACGCGGGCAGCAGGGCGCCACGGGCTGCAGGGTAGGGCAGCACGCGGGCTGCAGGGCAGGGCAGCGCGCGGGCTGCAGGGCACGGCAGCGCGCGGGCTGTAGGGGGGTGCGGGGGCAGGGCAGCGCGCGGATTGCAGGGCTGCGCGGGCGGCAGCGCGCGGGCTGTAGGGTGTGGCGGCGCGCGGGCTGCAGGGCAGGGTAGCGTACGAGTCTTCCGTTAGCGCCGCAATTTCTTCGGTGCTTTCATGCAGTTGTTGCAGCAGTGTGTTCAGACGCTCCTGCGTAAGGCTCGCAAGGTCGACATGTTCAGCCATTCCGAAGGGCATCTGCTAGTCTAGGTGCTAGGCGCAGTCGTGGCTGCACGTGTTTACACGAGAACGCAAGGACGCTCCTAGTACGCTAAGGGGCCTGAGTCCCTTCGAGTGAAAATTCAAAGTTGAGTTCTTGCTGGTTGCGGAAATGCGCGGTCCAAAGGAAAGTGGCTCTAGTAGCCTAGTGTTACGAGTGCAATGGAACGAGGTAGCGAGTATTGCACTAAGGTGTCAAACCAGTACAAGTATGAGCGAAGGCATGAATGATTCCTTTTACAAAAAACTTGCAAACGGTTACGCGGTGCGTGCGAACTAGCTAGTGCGATGCTGGCATCGAGGTTCGGGCTAGTCCCGAAGCGTAGGCCGACTTGACCAGGGCAGCGATGCATTGGCAAATGTAGCGCGCGAAGGTTGACGAAGCCCTGTTAATGGTAACAGACGAACAACGGTTGCTTGTGTATGCCGTATTGCACGAAATCCAGGTTTTCGCCAGCCAACACTTTCGCCCTGGCAAGCCTGGTTCAAAACAAAATCCTCTGAACCTCCGCCAGACAAATCTAGACCCTCGTTGTAAAAGTTCTAATCGTTTGTTCACTGCCCAGGTCAATACAAGAGTTGACGGAAAGCTGCTGCCCTTCGTCTCGTCAAACAAAATCCCGTCACATTTTGTGGTCAATCTGACGAAGCGCCTGCGTGAGCCCAGAATTAGGTTAGGGCTAGTTGCGGCTCAGGCTAGACAGTGTGCGACACACCTGGCCCTTCTTTGGCCACATTTCTGCTGTCATTTGGCCGCATTTGATCTTTGCCCGTCCGACGAGACCAAACACCAGTTAGCCAAAATTCAGAAACAGACACAGCAAAACGGTGACAACGACGCGATGTGGAGGCTCGGCAGTTCTGGCCTGACGTCTGACACGCCCATAACCTCAGAGCATGTGAAGGTTGACCCAAACGGGAGATTTGGGTTTTGGAAAAACTTCGGTACTGTACGGTGATTTAGATACGCATTTCGGTAACGTGCAATAAACCTTGCTTGGTTGCCCCGAACCTTGCTCAGTTGCCCCTACATGCCACCGAAAACACGGGTGCGTAACACGCTCTTCTCACATCATCTCGCTGATCTTTGCCACCATAGAAATCGCATTGCTCGTTGTCATTCATATCACCTGACTTTCGTGACTAGCTCTGCTAGCCCGTCTCTTTTTTATTCGTCCACGCTACATGCACTTGCTTAAAGACGCGCCTTAGTTATGACGGGTACAGGGGCGGAGAAGGCGGCGAGGGGGGAGCAGGCCTCGTCGAGATTGGAGGCAGGTCACAGCATCACTAATAGCAAGAGCCCGCGCAAGCGTCGGCCTTCAAGGCACTTGATACGGCGGATGCCTTTAGTGTTCGCCGTGGTAGTCGTGCTCGCGTGGGAGTTGCTGTTCCACGCGCGCTTCCCGGACTTCGTCACCCAGCCGCATCGAGCAATCGCCGAGTTCTCGCGGAGTTATATGAAGAGCCGCCGCGAGCCGTATTTAGCATTTGTCGGGAACGAGAGCACCCTGTTCAAGTTCTCCCGCTCGTGCGCGGACGTGCTTCGCGAACGCGCAGATGGGTTCAAGTCATTCTACTTTCCAAGCTTCGGCTTCTTTCCACGTGATACAAGGCCCGCTTGTCGTGCCAAGCTGTGCCACGCGCTGCGGCGGTGGGCGAAGTTGGCACAGGCGCGGGAGTTGAGAAGCAGCTGCAGCAGCAGCGCCTCGGCAACAAGCTGCGACGCAAGCTCGCTTGTATCGAGAACATTGTTAAGGGAATCAAAAGCTGACAGCTCCGCTTCTGACGCAAGACAAGGAACAGAGTCGGGCGATATATTAGACTCGTTACAAGCTGATCCGTTGTCAGAGCAGGAGGTGGAGAAGCAGCAGGCCGCGGGCGTGGGGCAGATATGCACGGAAGCGTGGAGGCGGGGCGTGCTAAGGCGGGTGGGCAGCAGCAAGTATATCCGGCGACTGCTGGCGGAGGGAGAGACGAGCGTGGCGAACATCAGTGCGGGTATTGACGCCGTGTGCGGGCGAAGCAAGCACGTGGAAGCCATGCTGCTGCTGAACCGCAGCAGTGTTGCCACGTCAGCTTGTGGCGACTGGCCCGAGGAGTGCTGGCCCGTGCCCCACATGCCCTTCGCCTCTCTCACTGTATGCTCGTTTCACATGAACCCCCCTGCCATGCCATGCTTCTGAGCGTGCAATGACCGCCACACTCTGCATGCACGACCATTCACTCTCTCTTCCCCTACCAGCCGCACTTCCCATCTGCCCGCTGCCCCGGCAGCACCTCCCTGGCTGCGCGGGAACCTGGCCTTGGCCATCGTAGCAGGCGATGCCACACCCCTCACGCACTCGTTGCCTCTGCACCTGCTTCCTTCTATCCGCTTCTCCTTGCGTGTTCCCCGGCAGTACTTCCCGCGGCGCAAGTACCTGGTGTTTGCCATGTCGGAAGAGCAGCTCAGCAATGCCCGCACGCACATCGTGGAGGCGGCTCTGCTCGCCCGCATGGCCAACCGCGTGCTCGTGCTGCCCAAGGTGCCACCCCACCACTGCACTCGCTCACCTCATACCACACCCCATGCCAAATCACACCCCATACCATATCACACCCCTACCATATCACACCCCATACCGTATCACACCCCATACCATATCTATCTGACACCCGGCCATGCTGACACGGCTGTCGAGTCACCCTTGAATTGGCTCGTCATTTTTACAACCGCACCACTGTGATGTCAGCATTACCTCGCTTCGGATTCAGGGCAGGCTCGCGGCTACCCGACAATTCTGGCTCAGGGCGAGCCTGCCTGGTTTAGACGAGCCATCTGCCTTTGCTGCCTCGACCCTGCGCATACATTCCCCCAAGCCACACCCCATATCACGCGTTTTGCCACGCCACACCAGGCGAGTCGCAGCCATGTATCGCTGGGGCGGGAGCTGCCCGTGTGCGAGTACTGGGACCTCTCTCGCCTCGCAGCCGCCTCTGAGTGGGTGTCGCCGCAGTTCTTCCTGCTGCTCGCACGCGCCACTCTCGCCAATCCCTCTGTTGGCTTCATGTGGGTGGAATCGCCGTACCTCAAACGCAACGTCTTCCATTACGGTATGGCCTTCTCCCTCCCTCCAAGCCTCAACGCCTCTGAGGAGGTCCGCGCATGAATGCAGGTTGGCCACAAGGTACACATTGCTCGCACACTGCCAAACACAGGCTCGCACACTGCCAAACACAGGTTCGCACACTGCCAAACACAGGCTCGCACACTGCCAAACACAGGCTCGCACACAGGCGTCCACATGTCCTGTGCGATGGAAGTGTCGGTAGGGGCTCCAAGACACCACGACGCAGTGCACACGGAAGAGGTATTTATGAGGGCAGGTGACGATGACAGGTCGGCCGTCTGCTTGATGAGCCTGTGGATACTGTGGCATTGACGAGGTAGCTGCTGCAGTGCCACTCACCACCTCTGCTGGCACTGGGCTGCTGGCACTGGGCTGCTGGCACTGGGCTGCTGGCACTGGGCTGCTGGCACTGGGCTGCTGGCACTATTGTAGCAGCTTCGCAGCCTGGTAAGTAGATGGAGGTGCAGCAGCTTCGATTTGAAGTGCGCCATGGCTTTAATGTCCGCATGGAGCTTCAGGCACGTGGCTTCATACATGAGAGCGCATTATGACAAGGATGGGCATTACGGCATGAGTGACCAAGGCACCTGCAGCTACTGCTAATGACGCTCTCTTTGGCGGTGATGCCATGGTGAAGCTTGGTGTGTTCACAGCCATCGCGTGGCGTTGCTGTGGCATCACAGACCAATGCTGTTCTCGAGCACTTTCCTCTCTCTCTGTCTCCAATTCACTCTTTCCTTCCAAACCTTCAGCCCCATGTGTCCACGCGCGTGTTCTCACATGCACAGCTGCTCGTTCCTGTGTGTGAGAATGACTCACGTGTCCATCCATGCTGCTCTGCTCCCTCTGCTCCCTCTGCTACCTCTGCTCCCTCTGTCCGTTGCCCCGTGCACGGCGCCACAGACATGGTGACGGAGTTCTTGGGGCAGCTCATGCCTTTCACGGGGGGCCACGTGCCACTGGAGGGCAACACGCAGCAACTGAGCATGCCCGCCACCAACCAGAAAGTCGCTGCACTGCTCAACGCCTGGTGTGTGCTGCCCGCCTGCCCGCCCGCCTGCCCGCCCGCCTGCCTGCCTGCAGGCTCACCCACCCGCCCGCCTGCCTGCAGGCTCACCCACCCGCCCGCCTGCCTGCAGGCTCACCCCCACCCGCCCGCCTGCCTGTTTGCTAATCTGCCTGCTCACCCGCCCAGCCGCCCACCTGTATGACCGCCGAGCTGCCCACCTGCCAGCCTGCGTAGCTGTTGGCCTTGAGAAGCCTTATGCCACTACCTTGTGCATTGGTGCGTTCGTCTCGTGGCCCCTATCCTCCACCCTCTGCCTGCCACACAGATATCCTTTCAGTGCCATTCCCACTGCCGTGCCCTCAATGCCGGTCCCCTCCATTGATTGGGGCCTTCAACCTCCCATCCTTCCATCTCCCCTCTCCCTCCCTGTCTCCCGTGCACACCTGTAAGAATACATTTTCCATTTGTCGCCCTTGTGCTACTCTCCTCTCTCTTCCCCCCGTCCTTCCCTGCCTACCCGAATTCCCTTCCCCTCCCAGCCGCTCCCATCCCATCCTCCACCTCTCCCATTCTCATTGCCACTCCTGAGCAACTCAAAATTGACCTACCATTTGGAAAGCACAGTGAGCGCACATGCGTCTTGCCGCTTCCCTGCACCTCTTCGCACACAATTCTCCATCGTGTCTGCCATCTGCCATCTGCCATCTGGCTTCACGTTGTTCCCACCAACCAACTTGGCAAAATTACCTGGAAAAAAACACAATAGCCATACTCGCACCTCCTACCCTTACCGTTCTGGTCCCCTTGTGTGCACACGCACTTGCACATGTGGCGATGGCAGGGAAGAGAGGGACATTGTGGTGTGGTTCAAGACAACGTGGGAGCGAGTGGAGTTCAGCAGCAACACGGACGACTCAGCCTTCCCCCTGCTGCCCTACAGCCGCCACCACCACGCCACGGCTGCCCGCCTGCTCGCCATGCTGCCGCGCCCCTTGATCGCCGTGCACTTCCGCTCCGAGTTCATAGCGTTCCGCGTGGTGAGCTAGAGTGCCAGGGGGGGGAGGTGGGACAGGAGGTGGTGAGTGACGGGTGAGAGAGTGGTGAGTGGTGATTGGTGAGAGTGGTGAGTGGTAAGAATGAGGTGAGTGGTAAGAATGAGGTGAGTGGTAAGAATGAGGTGAGTGGTAAGAGGGAAAGGAGAGGGGAGGAACCTGTCAGAATGAGGGGAAGAATCATGTCTTCCCAGATTACAAAGCCTCAAGAGGTGGAGATCCGAGCCAGTTTGAGGGAATGGCTTATGCTGACACTAGTTCAACGCAGCCCCTACTCAACCTTTCTCCCTTGGCTTTGTTGTACTGTCCTGTTGTGGTGTGGTGCAGCAAGATGACATGCAGGCGCAAGGGCAGCAGGCGAATGCATCCATGGTGCAGCAGAGGCTCGAGTGGTGTGTGGGCGAGGCAGAGCAGCTCATAAACCGAGTCAGGGACCTCCTCGCCCAACCTTCCGCTGCCGCCGACGCTGTAGCTGCCCTTGCTGCCCTTGCTGCCCTTGCTGCTGAGGCTGCTGCCCCTGCTTCCAGCTCTGGTACCAGAGGTGACAGCAGCACCCTTGGCGAGAGCATCAATGTGAGCAGCAGCAGCAGCGGGGCCAGCAGCAACGTGTCGGTGTTCATTGCAGCAGACGTGCCGTTCAACACATCGGCGGCGCCCGCGCGGTCGGACTCGTGGGAGAGCATGGTAGAGTGGTACAAGGGCGACCAATCCGTGCTGCAGTCGTCGCTCGCCGCTCTGCGACGGCTGAGGAGGAACGTGGCGGGCACAGTGATGGTGGACGAGCTCATGCCGCATGTCAACACCCTCGACCCAGGTCAGCTGCTGCTCCGCCACACGCACAAGCACAAACGCGCGTGCCATGATGATGGGTCGATGGTGTGCGTGTTGGTAGTGGTTGCTGACAGAATCTGCGTTGAAGGGTATAATATGGTCCTAACAAATGGGTGTCTCACAGAGTTCCCTGGGAGAACGCCGCCTGGGAAGGAAAGCTCCTGGCAAGGGAAGCATCTGGGAAGGAAAGCTCCTGTGAAGGGAAGCTTCTGGGAAGGAAAGCTCCTGTGAAGGGAAGCTTCTGGGAAGGGAAGCTCCTGGGAAGGAAAGCTCCTGGGAAGGGAAGCTCCTGGGAAGGAAAGCTCCTGGGAAGGAAAGCTCCTGAGAAGGAAAGCTCCTGGGAAGGGAAGCTTCTGGGAAGGGAAGCTCCTGGAAAGGAAAGCTCCTAGGAAGGAAAGCTCCTGGGAAGGAAAGCTCCTGGGAAGGGAAGCTCCTGGGAAGGGAAGCATCTGGGAAGGGAAGCTCCTGGGAAGGGAAGCTCCTGGGAAGGAAAGCTCCTGGGAAGGGAAGCTTCTGGGAAGGGAAGCTCCTGGGAAGTAAAGCTCCTGGGAAGGGAAGCTCCTGGGAAGGGAAGCTTCTGGGAAGGGAAGCTCCTGGGAAGGGAAGCTCCTGGGAAGGGAAGCTCCTGGGAAGGGAAGTTTCTGGGAAGGGAAGCTCCTGGGAAGGGAAGCTCCTGGGAAGGGAAGCTCCTGGGAAGGGAAGCTCTTGGGAAGGGAAGCTCCTGGGAAGGAAAGCTCCTGGGAAGGGAAGCTCCTGGGAAGGGAAGCTTCTGGGAAGGGAAGCTCCTGGGGAGGAAAGCTTCTGGGAAGGGAAGCTTCTGGGAAGGGAAGCTCCTGGGAAGGGAAGCTCCTGGGGAGGAAAGCTCCTGGGAAGGGAAGCTCCTGGGAAGGGAAGCTCCTGGGAAGGGAAGCTCCTGGGAAGGGAAGCTCCTGGGAAGGGAAGCTCCTGGGAAGGAAAGCTTCTGGGAAGGGAAGCTCCTGGGAAGGGAAGCTCCTGGGAAGGGAAGCTCCTGGGAAGGAAAGCTCCTGGGAAGGGAAGCTCCTGGGAAGGGAAGCTCCTGGGAAGGGAAGCTCCTGGGAAGGGAAGCTCCTGGGAAGGAAAGCTCCTGGGAAGGGAAGCTCCTGGGAAGGGAAGCTCCTGGGAAGGGAAGCTCCTGGGAAGGGAAGCTCCTGGGAAGGGAAGCTCCTGGGAAGGGAAGCTCCTAGGGCTACGGCCATGTTGAGAGCAACCGCGTGGAGCTGCGCTGGATTGCCGCGGATAACCTCTGCACTGCATGGTCCTCATCAGGGCGACGGTTAGAGGTGGCTCCACGGGTGAGGTGCGTGAGGTGACAAAGATGGGTCAGGGTCAGGTTTGGTGGCCAACGGGGGGAGCGGCGTCAGCAGCCTGTGTCACAGCGAAGAAGCCAAGAGTGTCACATCAGCGGCTGACATTTCTGGGCGGGCCGATGTTGCGGATGGGGACAGGTAGGGTAGTGTTGGGGGGGGGGACTGCAATGGGGAGGGTTGAGAGTGAGGAGGAACAGAGAGTGGGTGTGGGGATGGGGCGGAGGGGAGAAGATGTTAGACTGGTTGAAGGAGCCGATAGGATAGATGTTGGGTGAGGGCATTGTGGAGATCGGAGGTGGGAGGTTGGTAAGCAGGGAGGATGCGAATGTCGTGAGGCGTGGGATGGGGAGTGACATTGGCCCAACTAAGGAAGGTGCCAACGTTTCCACGCTCATAGCGATTCTCAATCAGTGGTGAACACAGGCAGTAGTGGGGTGGCTGGTTTGCATCCCTGGCTGGGAGTGGCTGACAGAGAAGATTATGGAGGCGCCTCGAAAGTCATCTTCTGAGGCACTTAAGAAATCCAGGGATGTGAGAAAAGTGTGGATGCTGTGCGAGAAAGACGCTGAGTTCAGGGGGTGGTGCTTCAACGAGTTGAAGATGATCAATGTCACCGAGGTTGACGGACTAGATGTTACCAGCCATGATGGGGAGTGCCGTGACAGGGGGAGGGAGAAGGGGCTGACGAGACCACGCGGTTGCAGGAAGGACGGCGCGGCCAAGCAGGGCAAGACCGTTGGGAGAGACGGTGATGTCAGTGCAAGTAGTGCGGAATGAATCAGGGTGCCTTCAGGTGCGTGGGTAGTGGGGCAGGGCGGCGTATGGGCATGGGATGGAAAAGCAGGGTAGGGCAGGGATGCAGGCGTGCGTGCAGGCCATCACAGGGTACAGGGTCCACAGCACACCGGGGCTGTGAGGAGTGTGCGTGGGGGACGTGATGGTTGGGCTCTAGGTCCAGCAAGGTTGTGACGGTGGGTTGAGAGGCGCAGTGGTGTCACAGCTGATGAGCAGTGGCTAGTTGCGTGCATGAGGTCACGGCGGCAGTCATTCTGGTTCGTAGGCACAGCCTAGGTAGGGTTTTATTGGCAGAGAAACAGGCCTTAGCTGCTAGCACCTGAGACGCTCAAGGCGCTCCGACGATTGGGTTCTCCGCGTGGCCTGAAGCACAGCTGGTTGCCGCACCGGAGCTTGACGGATGACCGTCTCTTGATCAAGCATGCATACCATGAAGCTTCACTCATGTCTATACCAACATTATTTTTCTTAAGCAACTGCTTCTCTTCTTGATCAGACACCTCATACACTGCACCAGATCCAATGAGCACCCTCTATGCTCATGCACACGGCTGCCTGGCATCCACCCTTGCATCCTTCCTTTCCCGTCACATCCTCCCTCCACCATTCCTCTGTCCACACGTGTGTGCATGGCAGGTGTGGTGGCCATACTGGACAAGCTGGTGTCTGCGCACGCTGATGTGTTCCTCGCAGGCTCGTGGAACTGTGGAGGGGGCAGGGGGTACGAGAGTGACATCATAAGGCATCGCCGCCAATTCAACCACTCTGATAGCACTCTCATGCGATGGGCCGAAGGGTGACGGAAATGGCATGCATGATGAACTCCTGCTGAAGCAACTTGAGTGTTGGCTTGAGTGATGGGTACAGTGAGGGATATTGGTGTGTACTATTTCTAACCAGTTTACTGTCAAAATAAGTAATTTTAGAAAGTGCAACACTTTCGGAGATATACACATCGTTTTCAGATGATCCATTACAAATAAAAATTATGTCCTGCACATGTTTTAGTACCGGTAGCTAAAAATCTTGATCACTATATTGTTATCGTGCTCGTCATTCATGATGGGCTGAGAAAAGCCCTTAGGATCTTTTTCAAGGCTAAACTCTGAGTAGAAGTGTTGTAGTTGCGGAAGCGTTTTTAATTACAAGTGTTGAACCACCTTGCGCTAGTATGTGAGGGCAAGATAGATTGATTATAGAAAAGGAATAAAATATTTCATAAGATTACAAGCAATATGAAAGGGTGCAACTAATAACTGTTCTACTGTTGATGTTGCGGTTCGATACAGTGACGACTCGGGCAACTGCTCAGTATCAAGTCAGTTGTCTGTCCTTGCTGTCGTGCTGTATTTGTCAAGTCAAAGGTCGCTGACCTTTGACCTTCGCGTAACCTCCAGCAGTTTGTCAACCTCCGATGGTTGACTCGCCGTTGCTTCGTTGCTATTTGCTTCGTTTACAGTTCGATGTTCTGACACATCAGAAGTGTTAAGTTACTTGTTTCCAACACTCCCCTTCGCTTCTGGAGTGTCGCTGCTGGTGACGTGGCTTTGTCCAGTCAGCAGCATGCAATACTCGAATTTCTGCTTTTCGAGCTTCTTGGTCAAATAGTCGGCTGCCATCTTGGTCGTGGGACAGTAAGATAGCTCAAGTCTCCCCTTCTCGATTTCGTCTTTCGCGAAGAAGTATCGCAGGGCGATATGCTTCGTCTGGTTCGCGAACCCGTTCTTGTTTGCTATGCGAATTGCGGATTGGTTGTCGCAGAACATAGTGAAGCTGGGTAACTGGGCCAACTTCGCTTCTTCCAGCAGTTCGCGAAGGTACAAGCCTTCCTTGGTGGCTGAACAGAGTGCAATATATTCTGCTTCAGCTGAGGAGAGAGCGATTAGTTCTTGTTTGCTCGACTGCCACGAGATAGGCCCGATAGGTTCGAGTCGGTAGATGTAGCCGGTGCGTGAGCGCCTGTTGTCTGCGTCGCCGGCGTGGTCGGCGTCTACATAGCCGATTAGCTTAGGTGTCGAGGTTCCGTTTTTGTGGTAGGTCAGGCCGATTGTCGGAGTGCCGACGAGGTAGTGGAGTGCGCGGTCGAGTTCCGCCATGTGCTCTGCTTCAGGTTTCTTGAGGTAGGTGGCGAGCTGGCTTGCAGAATACGATAGGTCTGGTCGGCAGGTGACGCTTGCGAATAGTAGACATCCTAGCTTTCGTTGATAGTCGCGTATGCCGGCGGGCTTGAGTGGTGCGGAGATTTCTTCGTGGCTCGCGGAGGTGTAGCGGTACGGTGTGGAGATAGCAGTTGGAGTTAATCCGAAGCGTTTGGCGATGGTGTCGGTGTATTTTGCGGCGCTGAGATAGATCGCGTTCTCTTCTTCCTTTATGTTGAGCCTGAGGTATTGTGTCATGGTGGATGAGACGGTGAGCGCTAAGTCCCACTGCAGCTCCCCTTCAAACCAGGTTGTGACGCCGTCGGTCGAGCCGATGTAGAGTAGATCGTCCACGTAGACGATCGGCAGAATGTAGTCAGTTTCTTTCGTGAGCCGGTACATTTCTTGATCGTGCGGCAGTTGCTTGAATCCGATGCGGATTAGCCAGGCGTGTAGGTACTGATGCCACAGTCTTGGGGCCTGTTTGATTCCGCACAAGGACTTCAGTAACTGTCAGACTTGGTTGGGGTCTGCGTTGGAGCTATGCGGTTGCTCGACAAAGATTTCAGCGTCGACGGGTGCGTAGAGAAAGGCGTTGGCGACGTCGATTTGACGAAGCTTCTTCCGCTTCATGGCGGCTATCGCGAGGAGAATCCGCAGTGAGGTGTGCCGACTAACAGGTGCGAATGTTTTGGTGAAGTCTCATCCGTGCTCTTGATCGAAGCCACGTACGACCCAGCGTGTCTTGAATTTGTCGATGGTTCCGTCTGCCTTTGTTTTCACCCGAAAATCCCATTTTCCGGTGAGAATGGTAGTGTTCCGTGCCACACCAATAGGTACGACCTTCCAGGTGTTGCGTTCTTCAAGTGCCTTTAACTCCCTGTCCATGTCCTTGCGCCATTTTCCCCTGTGCTTCCCCCCCAGAGCCTGCTGAACTG